ATAAATAAATAAATAAATAAATAAATAAATAAATAAATAAATAAATAAATAAAGCTTTCATGTTACCCAACTTTTCAGTCTTTTTCATGTGTATTTCAGCTATCCTGAAGTGATTTCGCTTTGTGCTTAAGGCTAAGCTGGTTTGATTGTGGGAGAGAGAGCTATTGAGAAGCTGTTCAGGAAGCTATCCATGGTCCTGGTAACACATGAAAGGGGACCTGCTCTTGCCACGTGGCCCCCTCCCCCACTTAGGGCCACCCCATGAATGAGCGACCTCCAAAATGTCCGGTCCTCAATGGGTTTGCTCAGCTCTTGCAAAGTCAATACTGTACTTTATTTAGGGGGATCATTCGAGATGAAAGATAAACAAATGTTAAGTGGCAGCAAGTCACCCAAATGGGCCACTGACTTGCATAAATGTCTTGTATAAGCCTGTGTAAAGAGGACTCGGGCAGAACTGGCTCTTTGAGTCTCAGCATCTTGCCTCCCATATCTGGGTCTTACTCCCAAGGAGAACAGGTCTGTGGCAGTCTACCTCTGTGTGAGTGTGAGATAAGTTAGGTTAGACTTTGTTTTGTGGTACAGACGAGTGATATGGTAAAAGTTTTCAAATACAGTGGTGCCTCGCATTACGACGTTAATTTGTTCCAGCAAAATCGCTGTAGAACGAAAAAGTCGTAAAGCGAAAATAAAAAAGCCATTGAAATGCATTAAAACCTGGTTAATGCATTCCAATTGGCTAAGAACTCACCGTCCAGCGAAGATCCTACATAGGGGCGGCCATTTTCAGGTGCCTGTGCAGCAAAAAATGGCTCCTAAACACAGCGGGAAGCCATTTTGAGCACCCGGCGGCCATTTTGGTTTTCATCGTTGGGAAGCGAAAATCAGTTCCCGAAACAGGGAACTGCTCATCGTGCAGCGAAATTCCCCTATTCAAAACGTCATTTTGTGATCGCAAAAACCTTGTCGTAATGTGGATTTGTCGTTAAACAGAGCGCCCATCTTGCGAGGCACAACTGTACTTGAAAGTTAGTCCTATAGAGGAGGGGCAGGATCTGTTTTTGATCATCCCAGAATGCAGTACATGCAAGAATGGGCTCAAGTTACAAAAAGCCAGATTTTGATTGAATATCAGAAAAAAAACCTCCTAACTATTAGAGAAGTACGACAATGGAACCCATGACCTCAGGAACTGGTGAGGGCTCCAACACTGGAGGCCTTCACGAGAAACTTAGACAACCACCTGGCAGACCGCCTTTGATTCGTATTCCTGTCTCAAGCAGGGGGTTGGACTTCATGGCCTTACAGGCCCCTTCCAACTTCACTGTTCTATGATTCTATGGTACTCTAGAGTGCTTGGGAGCAGAAAACAACTCCCCAGGCCTGACAGACAAGGCTAGGGTAGCAGAGTGGCTGTCAGAGGGGGTCTGACTTGGAAACCATGACAACAGTGCTGCAACCCAGCTGTTTTCCTGAAAAGAATTTGGGGACTGTAATGCTCACCCCACCTTTGAAGGATTACAGTCTGTACATTTTGGCAACCTTGCTACTTGGTGCCAGCGCGACACAAAAGCATCGCGAATTCCCAGCACCACTGACGGTGGGGCTGCCTTTCTAAGCGAAGCAAAAAACAGGGAGGGTGAGTGGGTGGGTGGACCTGGAAAGAGCACGAGAGGGGCGGGTGTGAGAGTACCCAATCTGTGCCTCCTCGCCCACCCTGTTCTTGCTTCATCCAGCCAAGGCTGTTCCCAGCTGACATCAGTGATGAGAGCAAAGGAAGCCTGGAGTGGTTGCTTTGAGCATGTTTCCTTCACCTCTGTGATACCGGGCAGTCTGAAGAGCAGGGATGACAAACATGATATCTCCCATCAAGTCCTGAAAGCGCTCTCGCAGCTTTGTAGGATCTTCCGTGTCTCCCAGATACTCATCCAGGATCATCTGCACAGACTCCAGCGGGATTCCCTGCAGGGCAGAGAACCGGGTAAAGCGGC